TTGGCCGTATTTCGAATGTTGGGTAGACAATATTTGACTTCCGAAATCTCCAGTTCTAAGAACTTTAAGGAAGTAAATTAACAGTATCTCTTTTTATTTGATAAGTAGTAGTGGAAAATAAATTCCTAAGGAAAATAATGAAGGATCTGGAGAGTCTCACAATATATATTTTCCTCCACAATAAATTAAGGTTAACATTATCAAATGCCTTTTTAAGTCAATAAAAAGTGAATAAATTTTTCTCCTTTTCCTCAATAACGCATATTGAATTAAACTATTAAGAATGAAAGTATTATAAAATGTTCTCCTGCTCCAAACAAAGGCACCTTGAAATACTAAAATAGCATTATGGTCATTTAACCATTTTATTAATGGGTTTAATAATAGACTAGTAAACAGTTTTCTAAATGTGTTCAACAATGTTATTGGATGATAATTACATGGATTAGATCTTTCACCTTTCTTATCATTTTTAATAAAACTTTCTTCCATATCTCTGTTCAATAAAATTAAAGAAGCAGTGGCTTTTCCAAACTAAGAATATCTAAACAAACCATTCTCGGCAATAATTGAATAAATTCGTTTTTCACTCCATCCATACCAGGAGATGAACCCTCGTTTAATCTTTGAATTGCCATTTTTAATTCATCAAATGAGAAAGGATCATCCAAAGAAGGAGAAGAATTATCATGACCCATAGTCGGCAAGACACCGAGACCACCACTATTAAAATTCAATTTCAAAAACTTATCCATTCATCAGTAGAAATCTGACTCTGCAGTCTGGTTAACATGCACTCGATTTATAATTTTCCAAAAGTCTCTTGATGACCTTGTACCAAATTCTCATTTGAGCAAAATCTACAAAACTCTCACAATGTCCTATTTTTCTATTTTTTCTGCAATTTTACAGTCTTTATCAAACCATCCAAAACCAACTCTGCCTCTTATCCCAAATTTTGTTACTAATCCCACATTGTCTAGCAGATTTCCAAATTAAAGTAATGATCAATGAGTAAGTTGATTCTATACTGTCAATGGCTTTACAGTTGTTACTAACTGCTTGAGTAAACAAGTTTACTTTTTCTTCTTTCCATGTCAACCTTTCCTGCTGTTCTCTTCAAATAGCATCACTTTTTCTTGTGTTATCAAAATGATAATTCCAATACTACCAAAAGATGGTTCAACATGTAGCCCTCAGAAACATAAAAATCCTCAAGATGTTCAATCAGTCTGTATACACTGGTGGAAATTCACAAAACTTGGTAAACATGTACAGGGGCATACCCAGAAGAAATGAACACAAAATGAAATGAATTAAGCAAGGTTTTATTGCTGTTTGCTACATGTTTCAATAAGTAGTATGCCCATCTTGAGCATGGATACACTCTTGGATCCTTGCAGGTATTGAATCAATAAGTGCTTGAATGTCTTGTTGGGGTATGTCTCTCCATGCCTGCACAACTTATGCCGTCAGTTGTTGTATAGTGCACACTAGATGGCTATGAGATATAATCCGTCTACCCATGGCATTCCAGACATGCTCTATAGGGAATAAATCTGGAGACCGGGCAGGCCAATCCATGATTGTGACACTGCAAGACCTGTCTTGAGATGGCAGCAGCATGAGGACGGGCATTATCTTGTTGGAAGATACCATTTTGAATGGTGTTCATGAAAGGTATGACTACTGGATGGATCACCCTGTCCACATACTGGCAGGCGGTCATTGTGCCTTCAACAACCATCAACTTGGTCCTGCTCTCATAACTGATTGCCTCCCAAACCATGACACCAGGAGTTGGACCTGAGTAACACTCTGAAATTACAGCAGGGTGGGCTCTTTCTCTAGCATGCCAGTGGAAATGCTGCTGACTATCACATTGGCCTAAACAGAATCGGAATTCATCACTAAATACAACTGTACACCATTCATGTGTCCAATTACATCTAGCAGCACACCACGTTAGCTGTTGTTGAAATCTGATTAAGGGAACACATTGCATGGAGATCCGAGATCATAGCCCAGCATCAAGCAATCGGTTTACAATTGTCTGTGAGGTGACTGTGGCAGTAACTACTGCTCGGATCTGTGCTGCCATCGCCCATCTGTCAGCAACTGCCATTCGCACAATATGGCGGTCTTCATGTAACGTCGTCCTTCTGCGTGGACCTGTGCCAGGTCTGCGAGTACTAGACCCTTTCTGCATCCACCTTGTGACCACTCTTTGTACTGACATTGCAGTATGGTCAGTCCTTTGGACGATTTCACAATATGATGCTCCCATTTCTGAAATGCCAATTATCCGACCTCTTTCAAAGTCAGACATTTGGGTGTACAGAGTTCTCACTTGTCAATATGGCATAGCTGGTCACCAACAACCTGTGGACCAAAAAAAGTCATGTTCCCTATCACAGTTCACAACTTATAAGCTAAACACTATAGCAATTTTGCATAACAAATGTCTCCATAATTTCCATACCACTGTATGTACTTCATTTAATTTTTGATCATTCAATACCCTTCAAAAAAGGTTCTTTTGCCACATTTTCATATGTCTTCGACTATACTGAGTGGGTGTAACACTTTCAATTTTCACCAGTGTACATATCCTTTCCTCACTCAATACTAATAAGTCTATCACTGATGCTCCAAATTTGGATATGTATGTAAAATTAGCTGGAGAATCATGAGGGTGATCACCATTTATTATATATAAGTTTTATAGTCTTTAACCAACTCAATAAACTGGTCATCTCGCTTATTATTAATCAAAAATTAGTCTTGTAATGATTAAATATTGCATTGTCTTAAGCAGAACCATATCTTCTAAATTCTCATACAAAGAAGAGAATTAGCTACCTGAAGCCTTAATAGCTAGTTTTTCAAATATCCTCATTGTTAGATAAATCTTACTTTTTCAGTTAAATCAAAAATAAATAAGCCATGTCTCCATCAGGCCCAAAATTAAAAACTGCAGAAGATAATCAACAAATTCTCTATCATTTAAATTAAACAAAAAGTTCCTTGGCAATTTTATGCCAATTTTTATCTTCAGTTTATGAGAGGTTCAATTAAACTCTGAACATGGGACCTCAAAGTCCCACTTAAAGTTGGAAACAAAAAATTAAGATTCACAAGCTCACCCCTCTCTAAATCTGTAGTAAACCTTTCAGAATCAATTGTCAAAACATCTGCTATTAATCGAACTTTCCTCTTTCCAGATTTATAGTGATGATAGAAAGATAATAGTATTTTCCACCTTAGTCTAGATCTTCAACACAAGTTGTTGAAGATCTAGACTAAGGTTACAAAAATTAAGATCTTCAACAAAAGGTGTTGAAGATCTTAATTTTTGTAAATTTTGCATGGTTTCTAAGATTATTTATTCTTTCAGAACAACTGTGAGGTCCCAGACAGAAATCAAACTTATATGTTTCAAATGATGAAAACCTAGTGAGTTAGTTACACTCTCATTTTTCAGAATTAAACAATGCAAGACTTAAAGTCTAGCTTAAACAATAAAAGTTCTTTCTTAACAAAATGGAAAATAAAGAGTTTGAATTACAAGGATAATATCAAAGTCAAGGGTATTTTAGATGAACAGGGATTGGGTTTAGTCATGAAATTGACCTCTCCCATGCCCTGAAAGGTTTCAAATTGTCACCAGGTGACACATGGAGACCAAATCAGTGTGTGGGATCGAGGAGAAAAGTGATAAAAATGTGCGTTTTGTGGACACAACATTCTTTGTTCTATCTCCAAAACATTTATCAATGAGAGATGTTCGATCTTCTGGAGTTGGTTCATGCTCTTCAAGCTTCATCCTTGTGATAAGGACTATCCTTTCCTTTTCCAAGCTACAGTGCACCCTGGGGCCATCAAATCTGCCAACCATAATCAAGGAAGACACTCTACAAAATATTTGTGACTTTACCAGACTCTATCCTTTTAAATTTATGTCAATGGAGACAGAGATATTTGTAAGAAAACCTTTTATAATCTCATTAAACAGGTAAAGATGGTAAACTTGTCTCAGTGCTAATTTCTTGCTCACACACAATTGTTTCAACCCCTCGACCATCCTGACAATCTCACACAGTCGGCAAGCCTTACACAAAGATTATAAATCAAATAATGTTTTGGTTGAGTTAAACTTTATTATTCTTATAGTTGGAGTAGTCCTAGGTTCTGCTATTACCATAAACAACTCTTGTACCTTACTACTCAGATCATCGCCAGTCTGTGTTAGACCCTGAATTATTATATTTTTCCTTCACAATTTATTCGCCAGTGAGTCAACATTATGCAAAAGCAAACTATCTTTGTTTTGAGATTTCTGCTTAAACTTAAAAATTTCTTCCAGTTTAGTTTCAATCTTAGTCAACCTTTCATCGCTTTCATTATGCAAATTACAAGCCAATCAATTCTAGCAGATACCTCACTTAAAACATTAAGAACTGTATCAAACCTTTCATCTAAATACGAAAGCATTTCATTAGAAATCAACTTACTTGATTTGAATTTAGCAGGAGAAAAAAATTATCCAATTTTGCAATTTTCAACATAGGTTCACTAGGAGAGCAACGTTTCTTACTCTTAACATTAGGAAACTTAATTGGTGAATGAGGAATACAGTATAAAGGACTGGGATTTTCCTCTATTCCTCTGAGAATTAACAAAAATAACAATACAACTACAAAAAGAAAAATATTTTCTATAGTTTTTCACTTTCCAAAAGGTCACTAACAAACTTCTCCAGCTCACTCAGCTGACTACAACACCCCCTAAATCACCAAAATTAATTGTTCAGTATTAAAAATGAAACAGGCTATTTTATGTTAATTTATTATCAAAAGTTTAGGTAAAGGCTCACTATATTCTAAAATATATTACACTATTATATTCATGGGCAGATATTTCAGAAAAACTTAATTTATTTCAATAATTTATTTGTATTTAAAGCAAAAAAATAAAATTATGAAAAATTAATTTGTAATTTAATCTATTTTGTTAATATTAGTTAATACCTGCAAAACAGTTTGTATTTATTCACAAAATTAATTCATAAAGCAAAGGTTTCACAGACAAAACATTTATCATATAATAATATATTAAACGTAAATACATTGTTTGTATGATGAAATTTATCATTAACTCTATTTCATAAATAAGGATATTTAAATTGAGAAAAATAATATTTAAACTGAACATCAAACATCTAAACTAAGCATCTAAAATGAAGAAGAGTAAACCTGGAGTTCAATTTGTAGAAAAAATACTACAGAACTGAAGTGTGAAAATAAAAGTTCTCCATTGCTGTAGTAGAAAAAGTTCAAAAAATCAAGTTAAAAAATGTTTAACTTTTATACTGTCATACTGTATGACAGTATAAAATTTACAAGTTTAAAAGAAACAGAAAGTCAAGATAAGTCAAGAAAAATTCCAATATTGCAGATGCAACAAAACTAAACAAAAAGCTGGCACATTCAACAAAATATAAACATATTGCTACATAAGAAAGTTTTTAGGTATTCATTGATATATAACTTTTGTAAAAATGCACAAGAAAAAGAAACTGAGAGTGAGACATTATATGATTAGTGAATAATTTGTTATCAACCATGCTGCCATCCTAAAGTTTGAAATTCAAATGACATCAACAGTACAAATTATTTTAATTTCTACTTTCCATTATAAAAATATTCTACATTTTAGCAAATTGGAACTGAATTTTTCTTCATTTCTGTTTGTTTTCCATTGCAATTTTTCTGTAAGTGGAAACTAAATCTTCACCTAGATATATCTTTTGATTAGCTTCTACTATAATCGAATTTCACCGATTATATCAAAATAATAATGTGAAGGTCTGAAACCCTTTTTTCTGTTTTAAAACAGTAAACCTCGGAATTTTCTCTGAAAAGGGAAAAAGGAGAACCTCTGCGGTCAATGACAGAGACGCTCTCCTCGAATAAGAAAAAAAAGGGGAAATGTTAAAATATCAATAAACGAAGTCTCCTCCATTTGTTTAAAGGTAATTCTATAGATGTTAATATCAACAAGATGGGAATAAGAGATGTTTCTTATCACCTCTTTGGTTGTACGTAACACTTGGTTACAGCAATAAATCGTCTCGTTCATAGTCAAACACAATGTTTGATATAAACAATATCTAGATAGTTGACCAGGTTAAAGAAATTATTGTCAGATGAATGTTAATTTATGGATGAGAGCCATCAAACCTATAGAAATTTATGTCATAAAATCATATCATCTTGACACCAATATCAAGAAATTGAACAAACTTCTCTATGTCAGTTGTCCGAACTAGCTAGATCCAAATATCAACACACTAACAGGTGTGCGGATAAATCATTAGTAATGTCATAGTTCTCACCCCCTCAAATTTGGTATAAAGAGGACTCCCAGCCAGTTATTGGGGTGGCCTCCCAAGATAGCAGAAAGCAAAGGATAACTGTCCTCATCGCTGACCACCAAAGACGGACAACACGGTTAGATTCTACAAGCTACAACTTAGTAAGTAGAACTCTCTCTTTCCTCTCAGGTGGACTAGGGCTAATTCCGAAAATAATATTAAGGAGGATCAGAGATTATCCTCAGTCGAAATACCCGAGATATAATCCAACTAACCTACTATTATAATTTTGGTTTGATATTATTATTATTATTTGTAACTTTTTTATATAGTGTATACTAATTAAATTTATATTATATCTTAATCATGTGTGTTTACTCGTACTCTGTCAACACCTTATCGACTTATCCGCGACCTCCCACTCGATTTTCGCCCTCCTAAATTGCCATCCACTGACCCTGTGAGCAGGACTCACCTCCCCATTGTCGGAAAACGGTTTAGGCTTAGATGCTTAAACCCCGATTCTCACAATAATATATTTTTTTAATTAATTTGCAAAACATTATGATAAATTTATATAAATGCTAATTCTGTAGTTTATAAATAATATTTAAATAATAAATTCCTAATTTGTAGTATTATTTGAAACAATAAGCCATTATGTCCAGTCTAACATGTTTCAGATAAAATGAGAGTGATTCAAATCAAATTTTTTACTTTAAAAATGATTTCATACTGATAATTAGTTTAAGACAAAAAAACTATAAACATGATTACAAATTTTAATAATTACCTTCAGAAAAGTACGTCCACAAACTCCACAGGTTTTTGAATGTTCAAGGAGATGAAGATACTGATACTCTAAGCTAATAAAAGATTTTTGACAAATGGAACAAACATATTTATAGCCTTTTCTATTATTATTATGAGTCTCTTCATGTCTATGTAAATTCTTCTTCTGAAAAAATTCCTAAAATTGAAAGAAACAATATGATTAAAATAAATTAATAGTAAGAATAAAATATTAAAAAATTTTTAGAAAAGTACATATAGATACCATCACATCAATCAGATAAAAATAATAATTATTATAAAAAGCAACTAATTATTATACATGGTTGTTCAAATTAATAAAAAGTTTAGACTTGGAAGATTACATACACACATGCCTAAATACAAAGAAAAGAAAGTAGAAAAGCATGATAAACAAGTACATTTATTTACAAATTGTTTATACTGTATTTGGCAAATATATAGTAAATATTAATTTTACAAATTTGATTTATTTTTTGGTTTTGCTTAGTAGAGGAACAAATAAAAAGTGATTTGAATTAAGCAGAGTTCAGACTAGCAAGAATGCTCTGTGTACATGCTCTGTATTCAGATATAAACAATTTGTGCTACTTTCACACTGCCAACAATTCAATATGAAATCAATTATCAAAAGAGTCTTTGTATTTACAGTAGAGCATCGTTTATCTGAATCAATTGGGGACTGGGGTTGTTTGGATAACTTATTTTTCGGATAATCGATTATGTGCGAAAAAATATATTAACCTATCCCATGTTGAAATTTTTCTCCATTGCATGTCGCTTCGCATTAAATTTTCGTCAATGTTAAGCCTAACATAAACTTTTTAAAATAATAATCGTGCTATTGTATCATTAAAAATTATTTCTTTATTTTTTACAAACAAAATAANAATAATAATTGTGGCTATTGTATCATTAAAAATTATTTCTTTATTTTTTACAAACAAAATAAAAATATAAAAACAAAAAAATTATACTTTAGAAGTTAATCTAGTATCAAAAACATTCGATTCAGCATGGGGCACACAGTCCTCAGAAAAACACTACACAAAAGTGCCAGTGCTGCCAGCTAAAACACACACACCAACAAAAAAAATATTGGAGTAGCCCAAGATATAGCCAAAGATTGCAGCGCCACAGCACTAGCGAAAATTTAAATTTGCCGACTGGAATGCTTTTGGTTAACTGACGTTTCAGATAACTGGCTTTTGGATAAATGACGCTCTACTATATTCTGATGTATGACTGACGATTATTTATCATTCAAATGTTGACTAAGGCTCAACACTGTCAAATTGGTGGATGCCTAGCCAATGGGAGTAAAAATCCCGGGGCTGTGGAGTCGCGTAAAAATCTACCAACTCCAACTCTTCCTTACCACCCTACTCTGTTTCATACACATAACAAGTTGGTAAGTAAAAAGGGAGTCGGAGTCGGCAGATTTTTTGACGACTCCGACTCTGGCCAAAACTCCACGACTCTGACTCCAACTCCACAGCCCTGAAAAATCCACAAATTCCATAATTATTTGCATAAAATGGAGGAGATATTGCTTTAGTGAAAGAAAAGCTCCAGCTCACAATTTAGACAAAACATACCATTGAGATACATACAATGGTATGTTTTGTCTATTTGTTATTAACCAATTACTATGGTAACAACATATGGAAATTTTTAGACTTATTTCATGTATAACATAATTAATTTTCAATCTTGAAAATGTTTTTCATCTGTTTGCCTTATAATCTTGCTTTCACATTAACTGATATCATTGGAATATCTTTGACAATTTGATATATGGTCCAACTCAAAAACTTATTATCTGTCTTAATGAATGCTGATGACCATCATTGGCAGTGTGAAAATAGCATTAACAAACATTTCACAATGTATAAATAGAAAAAATTGAATAAATATTTATCAAATTGTGATAAATTAATTTAAAATTCAACCATAAACTTATATTTACATTTTTCTCTCTACATCAAACTTTCATCTAGAATGTGTGTCATTCACATGCAACAATTTCCATAAGAATTAGCATTTTTTCATGTTGATGATTGTTGTGCAATATTATGTAATAAAAATAAATTTGACATTTTTAAAACACTAAGAATTTATTATTTTTTAATAGTTTGTATTCTAACTTCTATGTTTTCCAAGAACCTATACTAGATCACAGCCCATACTTTAGGAAACATATTATTGTTTTAAAATAATCTAAAGTTTTCTAGTATACAAGAAGAAAAAACTAAATGTTTTAAACAATAAGTTATCTAAGAACAAGTAACATAATAAATTTAAATAATACAAATATGTTAAAGTAAATTAAATGCATATATATATGCATNAAAATATATATATATATAATTAATGTACTATATTCGAAACAGATTAATTTTTCATTGTAATTCAAAGAAAAACAAACATGAATTTGATTTATAAATTCAATATCATTATACATAATTTAACTCATTGAATCTGTAGTGCTATGTAAAGCAAATGTCAAATTGTAGTTTATTTGCTTTATTTATTTTTTTAACTTTGCATCCGGAAGGGTTTTGCACTAAAAGGGATTTTTTCATGTCCATAATCAATTTAATTAGTTCCACATAGAGTGGCCAAGTGATGAGATGGGTGGATCTAGGTTTTTTTGGGGCCTAGAGCTTATTGAAGTACAATGGGGCCTAAATTTTTAGAAATCATCTTCTATTCTGTTTAAAAGTGGAATTCATGTATAATTAGTAGCACACAATTATTAAAAAAATTAAAACTCAGCAGTTTGTTATAGCTAACCTAAGTAAGGCTTCCCTGCATCATACCACCGCAGTATCTCAGCACAGATTCCCTAACACTAAGACTAACTGACAATGGCAACACTTTTAAAAAGTCTCCACTTAAAGTTGAACTGCATTGCTGCCTGCTAGAGCAGAAAATATCAGAAATGAATCTGGTAAAAAGTGAAGGATACAGCATAGCAAGCCTTGCAATTGTGATGATAGATAACCCATTATGTGCAGTTACTGCCCCATTTTTTTATTAGATTAAGAACCTTTAAATTGGGGTTTAAAGTTTATTTTTAATAACATCAGAATCATTGTTAAAATGTATTTATTTATGAAATGGTGTTGAATGACGATAAGTGCTCATTGTTAATAAAAAGTATTAAAAATTTATGATGATAATTCAATTTTTGTGGGCCCTTGAGACTTAAGCCCTATTAATCCCTATGTAGATCTGCCCCTGATGAGAGATGAGACTCAACAAATCTAGATTAAAATAACCATAAAAACTTTTGAGAATCATCTTAGGTAGTCTTACCTACCTAATATGATTCTCAAAAGTTTTTATGGGTAGAGAGGTTTCCAGAATGCTGGCCTGCATTCTGGGAACCTCTGGATCTCTAGAGCAGCAGGCCAACACTTATTTGTATTATTATAAAAATGAACATTTTAAACAATTTTCAACATCTAATCAAGATTATTAAAAAAAATGTTAATAAATTCTTTTTGTCAAGATTTCACTATTTATAAGGTAGTAAATGAGGAAGTAAGATGGAAGGATTGTTTATAAGAAAAATAACTGTACATATAATATGAGAAATATATTTAAAATATAAAATAAATCTATTTAGCAAAAATATTCAGAAAACTGGAAAATTCAGAAATTCAGATCACTTCTTGTTTTAAACTTGTAAGATATTTGGTTCAGTACTGTATCATTTGTTTTCCTCATCCTTAACCTGACACCCTTAATTCTCATTTTACCTTAACATCGTTTCTTATTACATCTTATTAATTACAGTTCTCCAAATTTCCAATAACATATTTACATTATTTTCTATATTTAGCAAATAAATACATATTTGTAACACCATTCTCACATTTGTAAACACATCTTCCTTTTAAACTACTCTTGCTTTATCCTATATTACTTTCACCATCTTATCATATGCTTACTGTGCTTGACTTGTGCTTACCTTATGGCTTGTTCAAGCCATCTGGATACTGAAAGGAAGTTTGACTATATTAGAAATATAGCCTATCAACATAGATATAACAGAAATATATGGTTGATTACCAAATAAGAAAGTTTGATAAGCAATGAAGAAATCACACAAAACTAAAATCAAGGAAAATCACACAAAAGGACCAATAAAGGTGACAATATATAACAGAAGGCTGGAAAATAGAAATAGTAACAGATAGCAACAATTTGTCTTAGAAGAATCCTATGTCTCAGTTGTTAAGAAAACTCAGTGAAAAACACCAGTTGACCATGGGTTTATCAAGTACCTTTAGAAGAAACTGATATAGTGATATACATAAATTAGGGTGACAACCAGAACTTTAAGGAGAAGCTTAAATAACACAAGTATTTGGTGAAGTGAGGTTTAATTACAATGGTCCTTGTGAACTGAAAGTGAAAGTATAATGGGAAGTGACAAAGATTATACAACCTATGCAGGACATCATGGACTTGTTTATAATAAGAAAAAATTGAAATCTATAAATTGGCTAAGAAGGAGAATGTGTCAACACCAGAGATGTGGAAGAACTAGTTGAATGCATGAGGGTGCATTATGAAATAGTGTAGTACTTTCTTTAAGGTTTATTAATGTAATACACTATAATAATGAATATTCTATAATATTTCATATGGTATATGTTTTTGTGAAATTGTTGGGCTGCTGCGATAAGGTATACTAGTTATTGAAGTATGTAGAATTTTTGAAAATATCATTTAAATTACCAAACTGTTTATATTCTACTTAGCATAACTTCAAATTTTTTAAAGCTCTCTTTTGAAATTCAAGATTCAAAAATTGAAACTCAAATGTTGGTTAGGATATTCAGATTCTAGAATTTAAACCATAAAAACCTGAAAAAGGATATTTAACACATCCAAAAAAATTAGTCTGTATTGTGAATAGATTTTGCTGGACTTTAAGGTGTAATAGTTATTTTAAAGAGAGGTTAAGTGAGCATAGGAAAAATGTATATAAGCATAAGATAAGCTCATGTTAAGCACAAGAAGCATATGATAAGGAGATGAGAATAACATGGAATAAAGCAAAAGTAATTTACAAGAAAGATGTGTTTACAAATGTGAGAATAGTGTTATAAATATATATTTATTTGTTAAATATAGAAAATAATGTAGAAAATAAAAATGATGCAGATATGTTATTGGAAATTTGTAGAACTGCTCTTGAAAAGTGCTAGTGAAAATAAAAAAATGTTAATGCTGCTCTCAGTGTGTTTTTATTTTCTTTTTATGTGATATTTGGTGTGAGGTTCAAGCTGTATTATGCTCAATATATAAAATAATATTATGGTAAAATATAAAACAAAAAAATAATAATAATAAATTCTAAAATTACTTTTCCACATTTTCCACATTTAAATGGTTTCACTCCATCATGTATCATCTCATGTGTACACAAAGATCTCTTTGTTTTAAAGAGTTTATTACATGTTGGACAACGATAAGTTGGTTCTCTGTGTACAGCTTGATGCTGAGTTAACATATCTTTCCTATGAAATTTTTTCCCACAGTCTTCACAAGAAAAATTCTTTTGGCCATGAATAGTTCTGTAATAAAATATGAAGTAAATGTTTCAATATTCAATTAATAATAAATTATTATTTTGTAAAAAAACAATATTGCTTTCTGGCTTGATTACTAAACAATTAATACAAAACAAAAAAGCAAGCAGTATTAATATTTTATTTTGATTTATTTTATGTAACATTAATAAATTCTTTTATAAACATTTATAACTAAAGGAAACAAACTGCTTATATGAAGTTGAAGATAAATCCAAAAATACTAATGTTTTTGGTTAATACTGGGTCTTCACATGCCTTTAATGTGGTGAAGACTTCCACCTTCTTTTATGGACCATTGGAGGTTGGAAAAAAACTGCTTTTGTATATGCTCTATGCTCTCCATCTCAAATTAGTAATGGCTTGGCCCTGTACATCATACTTTTCTGTTAGCAATTGAGTCATGCTGATCATCTATCTAACTCCTTTTGGGAGAAAATTTTTGAATTGAAATAATGTGACTTCCAGTTTGAACTGAAAGTTCATATATAGTTAATTGGGGCCTTTGGCCTCTAATCTTTCATTTGGTCTATATTTTTGGTCTCAGTTTTCATCTGTCTAACTCTGTTCTTGAGATTAAGGAATAACAGATGGACATACGACAGTGGGAATTTACAGGTCTACAATTTTTTTTAATTGCAGCCCAATTAATTTAAGTTTTTTAGATACAAAAAGAAATCTCAGACATATAATTTTTATCACATATTCCTGCTTGAGTTTCTAAAATTAAAAAATATTTATTGATAATTATATATTAACTAAAAATTCCCTCATCAAGCATGATGGAATACTTTTCATGATAAAGTAGAAATTGAAGAATTGAGAAGAGTAGAGATTTCAAGATAGTCAAGAAGAGTTGTTAGTATAAACTACTTAATTTGTAGAAATATTATCTGTTGTAATATAAACAACAACAAAACAAAATTTCACCTGGAGCAGACAAAAATAGCAGGAGTTATAGAGAATTCTTACACACTCATAAACAGATTTAGGCTTTATATTAAAATAATATTAAAATCTTTCTTTATAAAATTTCTTTATACACTAAATTCTGAGTAAACACTATTGTCTTTTAAAAGATTTTTTTCTGTCTTTCTTTGGATTACTAAAGAAAGTAATAGACACCTTGATATTGTTTTGATGATTGACATTGTGATGTTGTTTCCGCAGCTCTTGCCAAAGCCATTCATACTTGATATTGCTCAAGTCAGACTTCACAGCCTTCATGGGTCTCAGTTCTTATACTTTTATATCTAGAATTTACCTTACCAATTTTACTCTTTCACTTCACCTATGCATTTTTTTTTAATTTCACATTGATAAAACAAAGTTGAATTGTATGTACATTAGTTAGATGAGCAATAAAACTTTCTAAATAACAGGCTCGTTAGATCGTTATTTCTAATTGAATAATAGAATGTCATGTGGTCACCATGGAAAGATTTTTAAAAAATTTGTTTTAGAAGTGACACAATGTGGCTATAAATTTAAACTTTAAAGAAAGAATGAAGTAAGTTTAAAATAGGCCATTTGCCAAAATATTTAAAAATGCAACTTAAGGGAAATATCCCCTCATCAAGCATGAACTAAACGAGGTCACTGCAATGTAAATGTAATCACTGAGCCAAAATCATCGATAAAACACACACACAGATAATGGCTTTTATATTAGTAATATTTGATTACAATGTGATATATGTTTTAAACTTCACCATAAAGTGTGTAATTATTATTATTAATTTTAAATACAACTTATTACTAGATTAGATATTACAATATCAAATAATAGCAAGATAAATAAATTCTTACTTGTGGATTTTTAAACTACTGTTACAAGAAAAACTTGAGCCACAAATATCACAAATTAATGGCTTTAAGTTTGAGCTCTTTAAATTAGATGAAGTAACAATGTCTGGTTTCTTGCAAGAATGTTTTAAAAGGGAATCTTTCCAATGAAAAGTTTTTTCACAATCTGTGCACTAAAATTAAAATGAATTAAAACAATTAATTTTTATAAATTCAATTTCCAAATTCCAATATTATATAAATACTTCTTAGCTCAATCTTAATGAAACGATGAAACACAAAAGTTCTTTTATCTAATGAGAATAATTTTGTAATTAAACATTGGAGAATAAACAAGCTTTTATTAAATTTAATAAAAGATAGTGCCTAATGCCTACTTGTAGACCTTTAGCATTTATTTAGCAGTAATATAGCCCAATCTAATCTGGCAATCGTTTGGCTTTAATATAATTATTGGGCTTAAGACTTGTTTATATCAAATTACATTATTATTGTATCAAAATTGCATAATTTAACAAACATAATAAAAGCATGATTTATATAAATGCTTAAAATAAAAAGTTTAAAAATGACAATTACCTTATAAACTGTTTTGCCATGATTGGATTTGTGCCGTTGTAAACTTTCATTATTAACAAAAATTTTATTACAAACATCACAGATTAAATCTTTACCCTGACAAACATGAAGTTTTAGGGAAAATCTTTGACGAAATCGTGCACCGCATGTCTCACAAGCAAAAAGATGTGTATGCTCATATTGATGATGTCTAAATTCAGCCACGTCTGTAAATATCTATAAAAATAAAAAAAGTGTCCATTCCTTAATTTTAAAGAAAGTATTTAATGCATAATATCAACTGTTCAGAGAATATTAATTATGAAAGCAATATATAAAGCATAAATATAAAAATTTTATTGTTTAACTATTAGTAATGTTTTAAAAATATCATGCAATAATGCTTGTTTTTTTTTAACAATTTTAAAATGTTTCAAATGAATAAAAGTAGATGTATTAGTTGATATATTTAATAAAAACACACATAAGATTGTATATGCATCTAGAAATTATTTTATGAATTCTATTTATAGTGGAATTAGCTTATTATAATTGTAACTATAGTTAGTGAAAATTCTGGTTTTATTCAATCTGACATTAAAATGACACTCTTAAATAATTAAAAATGTTTAACTCAAAGATTTATAAGTTATAATTATTTTTAACTAGGTAGCCTGACAGTTCAATTAATATTAATGCACTTAAAATAAAAATTTTAAAAAGCAGGCAAATTTATAAAACAAAAATTAATGAAATTACTAATATTAAAATAAATTTAAATTTGATTATCTTTTGTGCTAAACAACACTAAAAAAAAATTTCTATAGTTATGTTGCAAAAGAAAAAAAAGAGTTGTGATGAATTTAAAAAATTGTATTAACTAATTAAAGAGTTCAAAAATGCAGGCAAAATTAAATAAATAATAATAATAATAAATAATTATAAAAACTTAAACTAAATTAATATTAACTCTTTCCATAAATTCATGCCAAGTCCTTAGAAGAAGTTAATGTATGGTCCTTTTGAGGAACAAACTGTAGACCCCATAGGTAACAAAGTGTGACCTATTCACACGCTGCTTCTTCGTAAAGTGTTGGTTTTGGTTTTGGTGGGGATGAAACATTTTGCTTTTAATATATATACAGATTATAGTAATTTGTCTAGCATAATTATAACTGAAATAACAAATGCCAGATTATTTTCAAGATATATTCAGGCTAATTTAATTTACTGCTATCAGAATCTAGCTTAAAAGTTAAGTGATTATGTTACTATCATGTATAATTAGAAATTAAATTTGAATTTTTAACTAATTTATTAATTTTTTAAAAATTTAGAATTCCTTAAATAAAAAATTCTTGTATATAGGACAGGAAGGAGGCAAGTGATTTTTTGATTTTTTATTTGTTTACTTTTATATATATATTTTAGTGTGATCTCTGCTTCTGGCAAATATAGAGACTTAATAGTTAATGAGGATGGTTAGGTTACACATAACATAAAATTGTTGGAGACATCCAACATCCACAACCTTCAAATTTAACATAAGAAATAACGTGGCAATTTAGGTATTTTATCCAGTTTGCAAAATATTTGCAAAGAAATAAATTAAATGTATCATAAGTTAATGCAGTAGTGACCAAACAATGGCCCCCAGACTAAATATGGCTAGCAGCACACATTTATCCAACCTGTGAACATATTTGGCATATCAGTTATAAATCATAGAAACACATGTACAAAATATTTATGGCCTGCCTACCTACAACTTATAAGCAATTTGTCTCACCAAATGAAAAGTTTGGGCACCACTGGTTTAAAGTATTGAAATATTTAGAAATTGCATTATGGAAATTTAGAAATTTAAGCATATTTAGAAATTGCATATTACACCATAAACTAGAAAATGTTTAATTTACAAATAGTTACCATATTGCAATTTGGGCATTTTGCTTGACCACTGACTTCAATTTCTTTAACTTGACCACATATTCTCATATGATTGGTAAGAGAAGCTAAAGAACTCAGCCACTTTCCACATATAGGACAAGAATGTTTCCCTGTATGAACTGGTAAATGTTTAAACAAGTATCTTTCTTTAGAAAAAGTTTTACTGCAGATAGTACAAGTGAATTCTTCAACATTTGGCTTCATAGGGCAAATATGATTTGTCAAAATTTCCTGAAATAAACATTTATCTCAAATTACTAAAATAAAATTGTTTGTCATTTAATTAATTATAATTTACCAACCTTTGTAGCAAAACTTTTTTTACATTCAGTGCAAGTGAATTCACCAGTGTGTTTTATTTTATGTCTTTCCAAAAGCTTTTCTGTGAAAAATGACATTTTGCAATACTCACAAGGATATTCAATTCTATTTTTTCTATTATCAGTTTCATTTTCACTTTCAGTTTCACTAGGCAAATTAGTTCCTGCCGAACAACTGTGTTTAAGCAAATTTTCTTTTCGAGCAAATGCTTTATGGCATTTCTTGCACATGTACTTTCCGGTGTGCTTTATTATGTGACGAAAAAGGCAAATTGTTTTATCAAATGATTTATTACACAAATCACATTTATATAATCTAACTTTTCTGGAATAAGCCTTTCTTAGTTTCGGTTTACTTTCACCTTCTTCTGATGTATCGGAATCATTATGCATATATTTCTCTGAAATATTCAAAATTTAACAATTTTATATTCAATATTATTATTAAAATTTTTCTAATTTCAAATATTCTAATCTCCTCCTAAACTAATTAAACCAATAATAACCCACACTAAAACCTTTTGAATCAGCAGATCAAAATATAGTGAAACACCAATTATCTGAATTAATTGGAACCTTGGGCCATCTGGATACACAAAATATCCAGCTAATTGGATTTTTGCATAAAATAGTCATTTTTTTCTATCCAAACAACTCAATACGCATCTGTGTACATAATTATAGGTAAGTAAAATACAAATACATTAACATATATTTTGTGATATCACTTTTGGCTATAATTAGTCTTTGCATGCTGTCAAGCTTGATTGACAATAATACAGTTGATAAAGTTAATATACTTCTAATGTACTTTTTATATAATTAGTTAAATAAATTAGCATAAGAACTGGAAGTTTATATCTTAGTCTGAGATATTTCTTTTCCAAATTTTTCTAATTATTATTATATTTGTCATCATTATATCTCAATCACTCTGATTATTCAAAACAATCAACATTATCTAGTGTAATTCAATGTTTTATGTTCCAGAGATTCTCACACTGCATCTTATTTAAATAGTTTTTCATCTGTTTATCAATCTCTATTCAAAAATTAAATTATTGAAATTTTAAAATTATTTCATAGAAAAATAGAATTCATATAAAAAGCATTTATACTATTAATCAACAATACTCTTAAAACCATGAAAATTTTTATTGTTGGTGAATGCTTTCAAGCTTTAAACACATCCATCTTCAGACTATATGAATCAATAATGGATCATATTTTAATTTACGATTTGTAATTCATTACAGAACAATTTAGCCTAAAAATGGATGTGCCTAAAGTTAAAGTGCTCATTAATATAAAAAAATCTGCTGGTTTTAAAGATAACATTAATTAATATAATATTTACCAATTGTGATTGTATTGTTCAGAAAGCAGTTGAAAATACTATATGGTATTATATGGTTGATATTATAATATTATTTGAATGAATAATTGTCAATTCATATTGACTTCTTACATGAAAACGTTTTATAATCAAATATCAAATGAAATTACTGTAGTTCAAATAATAAGAATATTCTTATGAAATTTTGTAACTTAAGTTATATTATTGAGGAAATTACAACATATTTATAAACATTCTAATTGCTTAATAAAAATTTTTTCATCTAAATTTCAAATTCAAAATTCTTACTTTTTTTTATTCCATCTTCAATATATGGATATTCTTCCTCTTTACTTTCATCAACATCATCATCTTCGTCATCATCATCGTCATCATCATCATCACTTTCTGATACTTCTTTGTCATTAGGTCCCTTGNTTTCATCTAAATTTCAAATTCAAAATTCTTACTTTTTTTTATTCCATCTTCAATATATGGATATTCTTCCTCTTTACTTTCATCAACATCATCATCTTCGTCATCATCATCGTCATCATCATCATCACTTTCTGATACTTCTTTGTCATTAGGTCCCTTGAAAATAAAATAATATTTAAGTAATTATTCTATGCATGGAACTTTATTGTATTTGTGTCAAAATAATGAAATTAAATTTTAAAAATTTAATAGAGAGAAAGAGCAAAGTGAACTTCAAAATCAGATGGGACTGGATATAAAATAAAAATTAAACACCAGTTAAGATGTAAATCTATGCAATCCTTTAAAGCAAGGCTGCCCAAATCCAGGTGCACCAACACATTTGAATTTGCCTGCCCACAGTAGCAGTCGGCTGTCACTATGCGCGATGTCGTGCTACTGATAATGCCAACTGTCACGTGAGTGGTCGAATGCGGAATGAACTATGACTTGAGTCACCACGCACATCGCTGTTAATACCTAACCTACACGTTTATTACACTTGTTCTATTAGTTTTGAGTTGCCTTTTGTGTATTAAAATTAAATTGTTGTCACCAAATATTGAAAAATTATTAGCTAATAAGCCCCTTCTTAGGTCTCATTGATGTATTTTTTATTAAGTATTATTAAAACATGTGCAACTTAAAGCTTTGTTTGATTCAAATACCTATCCATTTATAAAAGAATCATGAGTGTAAGCAAGTATGATTCACTAGGTTGCCTGCCGGGTGACAAGTAATTGAAATTATAGCCTGCCTCCAAAATGAATTGGGCAGCCCTGATTTAAAGTAAGCTGATATCTTTATGAGACAATGTCCTGGTTCCAATTGAGGCATTCTTGTTCAAAGTTTTCATTAATTTTTATTAAATACTTATAAATTGTCTAGAGATTGGCAAATTGTGAATAATTGTGCTAAATATTTGAAGTAAGTAAAAAGTTGCTACTTTTAATTGAAGATATTAAAGTTTTATTCATTTTAATATAAGTGTGAACCGCCGGGGAGGTCGGGAACCGTCGACACTCCCTTTCCGGCTACAGGTCGTTAGACCTGCTCACCTATCAAGATGGCTAACTTCCGACAGCGGTCCCGACGGGTCGGGATTCTTTTTTTTGTTCGGTCGAGTGGAGGAGGTGAGAGGGGTCGTCGACGAGGCGTAGGCGATAAGCGAGTAGATGACACCATTTAACAATGGAAACAACGATTTATTAGCTTAACAAGAACGTAATTAATGATTACAAAATCCAACATTGGGGGGGAGTGAATTTATTTCGCCTAACTCCTAACTCGCGGAGAGAGAGTTTACATTCATCGTTTCATACCTCTAGTCGATTCCAACGTAGGCACAGAGTTCGACGCACAAAGTTAAAGTTTCCCGACGACTTAATCCTTTTGGACGGTAGATGTGAGACTCCCCCGAGGAGGGGGAAAGAAGTCGCTTTTATAGCTTCGGACTGGGAAAATCAATCATGTGATCACCTATTGTGAGAGATAGGGTTGGTCCTGCAGGTGTGGAGGTTAAAGTTGTTCCCGGGATCCAAAACAAAATGACGAATTCGGACTTTAACTATAAACTTTTTGTCTTGTAGCAGAGGAAAGTCATTGTTCGAGGGTTGAATGTTTATATTAAAGCAGAATGTTATACGTTTCCATCGATATTTGATTCTTTTTTTCGACAATGTTATTTTAACGCGGAGGCGACAAATTTATTTCAAATACGTCGAAAATTTAGGGAGAAAATGAACAATTTTTTTGTTTTTAGATTATACTGGAATCGGATCTCACATAAGTTTGAAAACAAAATGAATCACAGATTCCTACAGAAACAAATTTCAATGTGATTATTCCTAAATCTAACAAACTCTATTAGTATTGAATTATTAGATTTTTCTAGATTAGTCAAGAAATGCTACAAATATCCAGTAAACATTTGCTATTTGCAAACATTTAACCAAGTAAATTAATCCAAAATACCTCTTGTTTCCATATTAATACGTATCATTTAGATATTCAGCAGCAATTCCTTNTACAATTTTTTGTTTATAGCATAGTTTATATGGATTATTCCCAAAAAATTATACATGTTTTGGAAATGTTGAGTCAAATTAGTCTAGAATCGATTAATTTTATGGAAGAAAACCTTTCAAACAGCCGTAGTCCCTAAACTGCATATGTGCCAGACTGTGATTGGCTCATGTATTTAAGGACTCGTACAACATGAATTTCATAAAACACGGAACATATCTACCGTGTTATATGGGTGTCTACTGTATATAATATGTTTGTTGGTAAAATTTTAAAATTGGATCTTATAATAATTTAAAATTTGAGAATAATTCAGTTTGTAAAACAATGAATTTAAATGTTAAAAATTTTATTTTAATATCATCATAACTATTTTAAAGTTAAAAAATGTTATTTTAAAACCAAATATTCTAAAATCTTTGGGAACCTAATCCTATGTTTTGTACTAGTCCTTTGCTTTGTATAGCAACGATTTGCATAAAACAGCATTTTTCAGAACCTAACTACCGTGTTATACAGGAGATATCTATATTAGCTTTCAAAATATATTTTTATTATTAATCCAAAATTAGAAGATGCAAACATGTTTCAATATCTTTTTTTATTTTTTAATTTTGGTCAAATATGGACTAGATAAAATTATATTGATAACTATATTTAATCTTAAATTAAGTTGCCATTCTTTGTATTTAAGGATATTTATTACTTCTGAAAAATTTATTGAAACATTTACATATTTAAAATATGAAGTAATTATATCATTTCAATCTTCTCTTAATATAAGACTAATCAATTATACAAACCTCAGGTGTTTTTGAGGGTTCATTGTTTATTGGAGATGTTTGTGGTACTTTACGAGGTCTTCCTCGCTTTCTTTTAGGTGGTGAAATCGTATTTTCATCATTATCTTCAAAAATATTTGATGACAGTTTAAGATTCTGTACTAGCTTCTTTATTCCTGTTGAAGCTGAAAAATAGTACGAAACAATTAATTTTTAGTTATTTGTCCTATAAAATAACAAAATATAATTACAAAAAGTAACTAAAGATCTTTATAATCCAGCAAATACTTACTTAANATACTATATATATATACTGTACTTATTCTAATAAACAGCACACTAACTTTTTTCATCTTACAGTTGCACTGTTTACTAGGTGCTTACTATTAAAGGGCACAGTTTATTAAAATAAATAAGTAATCTGTGACATTTACTGGAGACAATGGAAAGATGATTTTCAGTCTTCTTTGTATACAAATTTTTTGGACTGCAACTTTCAATTTTCAGACCTGTAAATTCCCACTGGTGTCTGTCCTTCCTTAATCTCAAGAACAGAGTTAGATATGTGAAAGTCAAGACCAGATATGGAAAGCATTGGGACAAGAGGCTCCAATTTCATATATAAACTTCCAGTTTGGATCAGAAGTCATGTTATTTTTAATTCAAAAATTTTCTCCAGAACAGAGTTAATTAGACGACNATATTCAGCAGCAATTCCTTTTTTATTCAGGCTATTACATCTAGAGAACTTTAAAATTTTTTTACATGAAAATTATATAAATTTTAAATATTTATGTAAAAGGACAGTATACTATTATTAAACTTCTCGTTTGTTATTTTATGTGGTTTGCTATTCTTTTGGGGCAGATTTTCCTCTGCCTAAACGGGCATTACCTTTAATAAATATATTTTTGATTTTTTTATAGTCACCTTTTCAAATCTATTACAAAAACTTTTTTAAATAAAGCAATTTATAAAATATAAGATAAAATATGATGTATAAAAAACAAAATTAGCAACTGTTTTACAACTGATTGAAGTTATTTTCAACAAACAAAATTTTTATTTAATATATTAATCATATTTAAAAAACAATTCTGTATGTATAAATTGCTAAGCATAAGAAAATTAAACATATATTTCTGAAAATAAAACTATTATATATATACAATACTGTACTTATTCTATACTATATATATATACTGTACTTATTCTAATAAACAGCACACTAACTTTTTTCATCTTACAGTTGCACTGTTTACTAGGTGCTTACTATTAAAGGGCACAGTTTATTAAAATAAATAAGTAATCTGTGACATTTACTGGAGACAATGGAAAGATGATTTTCAGTCTTCTTTGTATACAAATTTTTTGGACTGCAACTTTCAATTTTCAGACCTGTAAATTCCCACTGGTGTCTGTCCTTCCTTAATCTCAAGAACAGAGTTTGATATGTGAAAGTCAAGACCGGATATGGAAAGCATTGGGACAAGAGGCTCCAATTTCATATATAAACTTCCAGTTTGGATCAGAAGTCATGTTATTTTTAATTCAAAAATTTTCTCCAGAACAGAGTTAATTAGATGGCCAGCATGACTGTTGTTAACAGAAAAAGAATGATGTACAGAGGCAAGACACTACTAAAATCAAGACCATATATTTTAAATTAAATAAATTGAAAATATGATTAAAAATTGCAGCCCAGTATTATGATGATGCCACAGTAAATAATTGTTTGTTCCCTCTGTATTACCAAAAGTATCTTGCATAGTTTGTAATTAATAAACAAAAAATTATAATAATACACAAAGATTTTTAAAAAAATGATGTAAAGGAGTCCAGTGAAACTGAAATTTGATTGTAAATAACATTCTATATAATTGTTCATCATGTTTATCATGCTCTTGCTGGTACATTTTCTGCACTTACATATTTAATTACTTTGTACTGCTATTCACACTAAATTTCAAATATTTCTCATAGATATTTAAATTAAAAATAATTATTATGGTTTTGTGTTAACTTACATCAATTAAAATTAATGCTTTCCTTCTACTCCTAAGATTATATTTTCCAAATGCTGATTGAGAAATTTTTCTGGATACAATTTCAAATTTTTTTTCTTTAAATTGTTGTTGTTGTTCTTTAATGATTTCACTTTTCCTCTTCTTCATACTATTGTCAGTAATATCATTAGGAGTTGTATTCTCATCTTGAAGAGTAGGCTATAAATAATTAGTTTTTATTAAAAATTTTTTAAATCACAGAATTTTACTTAAGTTATTTTCTGAGAAACAAAAATTACATAGTTATAGAGAAGGTGTCTAAGAAAATGTATGCATGTTTCAATACTCCTAAATCCAATTTTCTTTCTTAATACAAAATCATATAATTAAAGTAAACAATTTAAAAGACTTGTCTCTTCAATTGACATAGTCTTAACAGGCTTCATGAATATTTCCTTTACCATATATTTTGGCAGATAGGCAACAATTTTATCATTAAGGAAAAAGTCATGGATCATCTTGTAGAATTTAGATGAAAACCCAAAATTTCGTTTTTGAGATAGGTAAAGACCTGTGTCTACAGAGAAAGTAAAAAATTTGAGTTTAAAAAGTTTTGGAAAGTTCTAGAATGTTATAGATATAGATAGTTTTGGGATTATTTTTATGCTTTGAGAATTTTTGGAAAGTTTTAATACAGTCAAACTTCCATATCTCAAAAATTTATATAGCAAATTTCTTCATATAACAAATTTTTGCATTGTACACTGCTCCTTCAGCCAAAAATATATGTAAAATTGCTTCTAAATAAAGAAGTTAAATTTCTATACAACAAATATTTTTAATTTGTAAGGACCATCAATCATTAAAACTCGATTACTTCCTCNATAAATTAAGTTAATATATAATTATATATACAGTACCTAATTTATATATAATTAATATATAATTATATGTACAGTACCTAATTTATATACTATTGAACACAATACTGTGTTATTATTAAAACACTTGGTGTTTATCCACTTTATTCAACTGAATAAAGTGGATTCAGTTGAATCAACTGAATACTGTGGATTCAGTTGAATCAACTGAATACTGTGTTATTATTAAAACACTTGGCGTTTATCCACTTTATTCAGTTGAATAAAGTGGATTCAGTTGAATCAACTGAATAAAGTGGATAAACGCCAAGTGTTTTAATAATAACACAGTATTGTGTTCAATAGTAAATAAATACGAAAACACGGTTCCAAAAACCGAATCAACCTAATTTATATATAATTATATGAACAGACGATACTAAACTCAATTTATCCGCCTAAACGTCCGTAGCGTGGCGCTACGGACGGCGGGAAAGTAGTTCGGCTGCCCGATGACGTTTTACGTATTATAGGAGTTATTTTTACCGTTGTTTACGGATACTGCCACAATTTTTATAGGAATCATAACTATAGGAAACGGTTTTATAGGGGGATCTACTGTATGATTAAAAATTGCAGCCCGGTATTATGATGATGCCACAGTAAATAATTGTTTGTTCCCTCTGCATTACCAAAAGTATCTTGCAATAAACAAAAAATTATAATAATACACAAAGATTTTTAAAAAAATGATGTAAAGGAGTCCAGTGAAACTGAAATTTGATTGTAAATAACATTCTATATAATTGTTCATCATGTTTATCATACTCTTGCTAGTACATTTTCTGCACTTACATATTTAATTACTTTGTACTGCTATTCACACTAAATTTCAAATAATTCTCATAGATATTTAAATTAAAAATAATTATTATGGTTTTGTGTTAACTTACATCAATTAAAATTAATGCTTTCCTTCTACTCCTAAGATTATATTTTCCAAATGCTGATTGAGAAATTTTTCTGGATACAATTTCAAATTTTTTTTCTTTAAATTGTTGTTGTTGTTCTTTAATGATTTCACTTTTCCTCTTCTTCATACTATTGTCAGTAATATCATTAGGAGTTGTATTCTCATCTTGAAGAGTAGGCTATAAATAATTAGTTTTTATTAAAAATTTTTTAAATCACAGAATTTTACTTAAGTTATTTTCTGAGAAACAAAAATTACATAGTTATAGAGAAGGTGTCTAAGAAAATGTATGCATGTTTCAATACTCCTAAATCCAATTTTCTTTCTTAATACAAAATCATATAATTAAAGTAAACAATTTAAAAGACTTGTCTCTTCAATTGACATAGTCTTAACAGGCTTCATGAATATTTCCTTTACCATATATTTTGGCAGATAGGCAACAATTTTATCATTAAGGAAAAAGTCATGGATCATCTTGTAGAATTTAGATGAAAACCCAAAATTTCGTTTTTGAGATAGGTAAAGACCTGTGTCTACAGAGAAAGTAAAAAATTTGAGTTTAAAAAGTTTTGGAAAGTTCTAGAATGTTATAGATATAGATAGTTTTGGGATTATTTTTANAATAAAAAAAAAAATATGTTAAAATGATACTTTATTTACCAAAAAGTGTAATTTCTGTATAACAAAATTTCCCTACAACAAATTTTTTTAGGATTTAGCAACTTCATTATATAGAAGTTTGACTCTACTTCCAATAACTCTCTTAGTGATATTTTTATTGTTAAGGCTCAAAATATGTCTGATAATAAAGTTCTTGTTGAATGAATTTTTGTAATATTCAATAAAATATATTTTTAATAAAATTACAATTAATAATTAATTCAATTTCCCTCATATAAATTAAAAACTTTATTTTCAGCATTGAACTCACCTTTCCCTCTTAGAGGTTTATGTCCTCACCTATCTCAAAAACATCTATTAATTGTCTTTATTTTATTAACCAATTTTCATTTTATTAACTAGGTTGAAAGGGATTCAAATAAATGCTTGAAAATAAAAAATTCTCCATAGCTATAATGTTACAGAAAATTACTTTTTAGTTTTCATTTGATTCCCACCAATTCAAAAATTCTAATATTCTAGTACTATGTGCATTCAGTGTTCTATCATTTCCCACAACTCACTCAAAATTGTTCTCACAATATTATAAAAATCCTTATAAAATAATGTTCTTTAAAAATGAGTCATATGATTACAATATACCTTCTGTACTTAAGCTATATTACACAGGCCTAAGTATGGCTTTGAAAACCATACTTGTAACAGTAATTCCAGAATGATATCCTATTGATAAGTTGAAGACTATATGTATTAAAATAACACATAACTAAATTATGAGATATTTTTGATATTTTTCAGAGAAAAATAAAAATTTGTAAAAAATTTCAATCATTAAAATGGATGTAAACATTTTTTGAGACACTCTACATGACAATAACTTTAATATCATTTTACAGTAATATTCAATCTAACATTATTGAAAATAAATCAAAACTCTAAATGAAAATTAACTATAAAGTAACAGAATTAATACATTACCCGAGTTTTTATTACTTCTTCTTCTTCTTGAATTGTATCAGTACTCTTAGTGTCCTGCGTGGAATGACTAGATTCTTGTTCTGTTTCAGTTATTTCATTTTCTGAATTATTTTTTGAAGGTTTATTGTGTACATTTTCTGAAGTTGTCAAATTACTATTAGTTTCTACTTCATTATGTTCTAAAGTTTCATCATTAACTTTTTCATTATCTTGTAATATATTATTAACTTCTTTTTCTTTATCACAATATTGTTGGTCCTGTGAAAATTCTGAACAAGCTCTTCTCTTTCTTGATGGCTTATAATGACTTTGTAAATGTTTGGCAAACTCTATACAATCAAAAAATATTTGGGTGCACTGAGAACAAATCCATTTTTCCTTTTCATTTTTAATACCTAAAGCTTTGGCCTTTGAGATTTTTTCTTCCTTCTATCAATACAGAAATAAGATTTTTTAAAACTATATTTTTAATTTATTACTATTATTATTAATAAATATATCCAATTTTTTAACTAAATATTAGAAACTTAGATTTATAAAAAATGATAGAATGTATACTCTGTCACACAAGTATAGTCTTAGAAGAGAGTAGATTGAATACAGGAGACCAATCAAATGACCATCCAAATCTTCAGACTGCATTTCCCTAGATTTTTTCTCTGAAGTCATCATTTATTTACAGTATACACCCATGAATGATTTTGAGGAACAAATCCATGTCAACAAATCACAGCTGGTACTTCCAAATATGTATAATGCAGCATCATATCATTCATCTAATTGTTAACCTTTCTGTATATAACAGAAGGGTTAACAATTAGAACATTTGTTTTCATAATAATTTTGCTGATGAGACCAAACTGAATGAATGGATAGCTTACATATTTTAGTAATACATATATCAAGTATGATCTGCTAGATATATAATTAGATATTTTTTAAAATAATTTTTCTCTTATAAACAATAATACAATAACTTTTTTAGCAAAGCGATTCATCTATTTAATGGGATAAAAATTATGATCAACAATTTTTTTTGTCATTTTTATGTGTTTTGTCTGTAAACCAACAAATTTAAATGGTTACTGATTTTATCATCTTATTAAAAGCATTTTTTCAAAAAAATCTGTCTTATAAAATACTTTTTAGCTAATAAATGAGGATTAAGTTAAGTAAATGTAAAGTATTTATACATTTAAGATTCTATTGTACACTTTAAAAAATTTTTAATGATAAAACAATTTTTAAAATATTTAGAATGTTATTAAAAAGTAAAACTAAAGTTGTTTTCATTTCTTTCAAATTATTAAAAAAAAAAAATACATCTACATTATATAACTTTAAGCAAATAAGCAATTTATAACTTCCTCTAATTAATATTTTTCAATGTATCTTCTTTGTTCTTCCAATTTTACAATAATGGGAAGTAGATATTTTAGCATATTCTCAAAGTAAAATAATTACATAACATAGGAATAAACTGGTCCAAGTACATAAGTGTAGGGTACATGAGTGAGTGTTCCTCTTAGAACAAGTACATATTTATAGCAAAATACATTATCATCATTAACAAAAATTATGCATTAGAGTTCAATAACAGCTAGAAAATAGTGTTAGATGAAATAAACCTAGAGCTAAAAGAAGACAAAACAAATCAGAATAGAATCAGTATATTGACTGTATGTATAAAATCTATTTTAGAAAGGGCTTAGATTTATATCACACAATTAAGTTGTATTAAGCTAAAAATTTAGTACAGTAGACCTCCCTATAAAACAGGTTCATATAATATGGATTTGTATATAATGGCAAAAAAATTGCAATCATATTTGTATAAACATGCTAAAAGAGACTCATATGATACAGTAAAACATCATGTTGTAACAGGATTGGTCAAATCTAGACCAATAGCGGATATTGCACAAACCGTTGAGTTTAAACAAGAAGCGGACCTACTAAACCATTTATTATTTAACAGCCATAAAAATTATATTTATATTAATGATGTCTCCAAAGTTCAGCAAATTTTTCGCAAAAAAATAATTTATCAGGAAACATATGCCCGCCATTCGATGTGCCACTCCGCAATGAAAACAAGCTTAAGCAATGGCATCGTCAAATGGTGCACACTCAGTAAGTAATCCTACAATTTTTTGTTTATAGCATAGTTTATATGGATTATTCCCAAAAAATTATACATGTTTTGGAAATGTTGAGTCAAATTAGTCTAGAATCGATTAATTTTATGGAAGAAAACCTTTCAAACAGCCGTAGTCCCTAAACTGCATATGTGCCAGACTGTGATTGGCTCATGTATTTAAGGACTCGTACAACATGAATTTCATAAAACACGGAACATATCTACCGTGTTATATGGGTGTCTACTGTATATAATATGTTTGTTGGTAAAATTTTAAAATTGGATCTTATAATAATTTAAAATTTGAGAATAATTCAGTTTGTAAAACAATGAATTAAAATGTTAAAAATTTTATTTTAATATCATCATAACTATTTTAAAGTTAAAAAATGTTATTTTAAAACCAAATATTCTAAAATCTTTGGGAACCTAATCCTATGTTTTGTACTAGTCCTTTGCTTTGTATAGCAACGATTTGCATAAAACGGCATTTTTTCAGAACCTAACTACCGTGTTATACAGAAGATATCTATATTAGCTTTCAAAATATATTTTTATTATTAATCCAAAATTAAAAGATTCAAACATGTTTCAATATCTTTTTTTATTTTGGTCAAATATGGACTAGATAAAATTATATTGATAACTATATTTAATCTTAAATTAAGTTGCCATTCTTTGTATTTAAGGATATTTATTACCTCTGAAAAATTTATTGAAACATTTACATATTTAAAATATGAAGTAATTATATCATTTCAATCTTCTCTTAATATAAGACTAATCAATTATACAAACCTCAGGTGTTTTTGAGGGTTCATTGTTTATTGGAGATGTTTGTGGTACTTTACGAGGTCTTCCTCGCTTTCTTTTAGGTGGTGAAATCGTATTTTCATCATTATCTTCAAAAATATTTGATGACAGTTTAAGATTCTGTACTAGCTTCTTTATTCCTGTTGAAGCTGAAAAATAGTACGAAACAATTAATTTTTAGTTATTTGTCCTATAAAATAACAAAATATAATTACAAAAAGTAACTAAAGATCTTTATAATCCAGCAAATACTTACTTAAGAAATACAACCATGGAATTAATTAATTAAAGAATAAAGGAACAATGTTAATAATTTTACTATTATATTTAAGATGTAATAAAATGTGTAACCAA